GGATCAACATCCCCGACGGCAAGTTCTACCTTGGAGATGCTGGCTATGCATGTCGGCCGGGTATTCTTCCACCCTTCAAGAAAACCAGGTACCATCTCAACGAGTTCTCTGGTAGGAACTATCCTAGGACTGCACAAGAGCTGTATAATCTCAGACATTCCAGCCTTAGAGTAACTGTTGAGAGGGCATTTGGAGCTCTGAAGAATAGGTTTAAGATCCAGGATCAGAAGCCATTCCACCCATACCCCACTCAGGTTAAGCTTGTTCTTGCTTGTTGCATTCTGCATAACTGGATCCTCGAGTGGGGCTTTGATGAACACATGCCTGAGGAGGAAGAGGTCGAGCCTGATGATGTTGTTAGCTCCGGCCATGGTGGAGGGCATTTGAAAATGACGCTTGGAAGAACAAAAAGTTAGAGTGGGCAAAGGCAATGTGGCTTAACAGAGGTCAGTGCAGGATTTGAAGAAGAGGAGGAGGAAGAAGAAGCAGCAGCCGCAGAAGCACAAGAGGAAGAGGAAGAGTAAGAGGAAGATATGGTAGCAGCAACACCGATGAACTGTCCCCTATTTAGCCAATGGCTTTTATTAATTTGAACTGTCATTTGATAGTAGTTAGGATGAACTATCATTTGTTTTAACTAGCTGGCACTATGTTTAGATTGTGTGTGGTAAGGTCACCACTAGTTAGAAGTGATAACAACACCTTATGCAGGTTGCAACCAAATATCAATGTCATATATGCCTCTAATACAATGCGGGCAACCAAACACCGTGTCAAAAATGGTTGTCTCATGCAACTAGGTACATGCAGGCAACCAAACTATGTGCATCTAATTTTTTTTTGCCCGCATCCTCTCAAACCGGCTCACTAGAGCCAGGCTCGTCGGGCCAGGCTCGATTGGCAATGTAACCAAACACGCTAGGCTCGCCGGGCCAGGCACGATTGGCAATGTAACCAAACGCGTCAGTGGTGTATCTAGAGGGTGTGCCACGTGTGCCAGGGCACACCTAGATTTTTATAAAACAATTTTTCACCATGTAAAAATTAGCTTATATTTAAGATCCATGCAAGCTAATTGAAATGGACTTCGATTTTTTTAAAGTGTGCACACCCTTCATTTTATTTCTAGGTCCGCCACTAACACGCCTAGTAGTACACGTCTAGGTCTTGACGGCCTCACAAAGTACACTAGCCCGCTCGTGTACTTCGTTCGTCGCTCACCAGCAGACAACAGTATCTGTTCTTCAGATGACCAAGCGACGGATACATGTGCATGCATGCATGCAGGCACGCAGGTCCAAGATCGCGGCACGGGGAACAGAGCACGGCGGCTGGGTCCTTCCTAGGCCGCCAACCTACAGCCACTACTACTGCACCAAAGATATGGAGCTAGCTAGAACGCTTTGTTGCTGCTGCCTGAAGAGAATAATTCCTCTGTCCCGAGTCACGGCGTGAAGAAGCTAGCTAGGGTGCAATGAACTGAGCTGAGCAGCCTCTCTCGACCCGTCGACCGGGTCGCGCTCCGGCAGACAGCTTGCGGCGATAAGGCGATGACAAGATTCCATCTCTCCTCTCCACTGGTGGCCGGAGACATCTCCAGTATAAACAGCTTCTGTGGCATACGGCCTGGCCACCGGCACCTAGTTCGACAATCATCATCAGCCTAGGCTATCGATGCATCTTTCAAACACTTTCTCGAACTCGACGGCTTGCTACTGGCTGGCACCATGGATGGATGCTGCTGGGCTAACCGAATTCGATCCTCAACTTTGCAGTGAAGAACAATAGTACTGTTTGCACTGTTGGCTTCATATCCACCACCATCGTGGAAGCAGCCGGTGTTGAGCATTCAGAGGAGTCGCCCTCGACCTCAAACGAAAGGGATTCTTTTGCCAGTTGGAACTTGGGGGTCAAATCCTGGGAAGAGCCATCGGATTCTTCATCTTTTGAAGGTGTTGGGAGGCAGAACAAATGCCTCGCCAGAAGAAACTGCAGGAATCAACAAAGAATTGAAAGTATAACTTGCATATCAAACTGGACAAGAAGTTACCAAGGTAGATATACAA